CCAAGTGATCATCTTCAGTTTGATTTTCCTCTTGAAGATGATCACTTGGTGATCGAAACACGTATCGAGGTGTTAAAAATCGAGGTGTTAAAATAACGGTTTGGTGTTGGGAAAAAACTCCAGTAATATTCATTACTACACCAGAGGTTTGAAACAGTGCATCACGAATATTTTTTGAGTAAAATGAAAATTCACTTCATTTATTGAACAGACTCGTAGTTTATTTTAGTGCAGATTTTTTATGTGTTATTTTAGTAACAGTATTCTATAACTGCATTTTGGGTGAGTCTAGCTTAAACTCTTTTTATCTTATGTGTTTAAATTTTTTTTTAAATAGTTGATCCGAGAGTTTGTCGAAATTATTCAAATATGTTGGTGAGAAATAATATTCAATTTGTTGTTTCCAGCAATGAATGGACCGACTTCATATCACAGCAGTTCATTTGGTTTACGATGTCTATTCTTAGATAAGGCATATCTCTGTCCTACATATGGCCTTATCTTATCTTCCCTTATATTATGCAACAATTCGAAAAAGTGCATAATACTACGCATAATGGGTAAACATTCAACATAGACCATATTTTTCAAAACCACTTGTTACGTATCAATCGACAGTGAAAAATAGGTCACAATGAAAATAATATTTATGTAGTTCTCTACTCGGATGAACTCTCTACTAGCTGTATACTTAAAAGTTGAATGAAAAAGTTGAAAAGGTATTTTTGGGTGTATCTTGATACTTCCCACAAAATGGATCTCTTACAAAAAATAATGGAAACTGAATAAGGTAAAACCTCACATTCATAGTTGAATTACCCAAGTTCAGAATGAAAGTATTTATAATGTTCAAGAGATTATATCAGCTGATGAGTCATAGAAAATTGTAGTATATAGTTGATAGGTATAATTTAAAAAACCTCAAAATGAAACGCTTGAAGAATAGAACTGAAAGGATTTGCATGAATTATCAGAGCTTACTATGTCATGATGAGTATTACATTCTGTAAATATTTCGAGAAATTTCTATAAGTTTCACTTGAAGATTAGATCGATAACCAACTACATTAAAAAAGTTGGTGATAATTTATATCCTGTCTTCCGCAGTATATCTGTATATATTTTGACTGCGTTATTGATATTTTCACATTCAATTTTGTGTCTGTATTTGTGTTTGTATCTGAAAGAAACTTTTGAAGAGTTTTTTTATAGATAATTCCTTTCTTTGAAAGTTTCCCACATTGTTTGTTTAATTTCAGAGAAGTAGAAAGCCATAACACTTTTCAACAAATAAACACTTATGTTGAAGATATCAAATGTTGATTTAGCAAAAAATAATTCACGAAAAATATTGATGAATTATACACACAAATCCTTCCTCTTGAATGGCATCGTCCATTGGTGAAAAAAATATTTCCTACTTTTATGAAGTTTCGTTCTCTCTGCAATAGTTCTCAGGTGATAACTGGCTTATTCCTGATACTCCAAGTCAGGGGTCGGCAAGTAGTTTCAGGTAGGGTCAGGATAATGTGGGAAAATATTAACGAGGTCCAGAAAAAAACAACTGATGATAATTAAGTGTTACCTATGTATTATTTTGGTTTCAAATCAAATTTTGAATTATAAAACACAAGGCGGACGATATTGAGCCTCTTTTTTATAGTTTGGTTTTTGAGTGGAACGGCNTCCCCGTATCAATTTATACTTGGTATACATCACATTACAGTACTTGTGTCCGAGGTTCGACCTTTTGCGGTCACACAGACGCTTAAACTTCTCTCACAGTTTTCCTTTTCAGTGCACCGTAGCCCGTTTCCCCCTAGATTAGGAGTCTATACTCTATACTAGCCTAGCTGAGTATGGTGTTCAAACAATGATGCGACGAGTCTTACACCTGTAGCTAAGAGGCCGTTGAAAGTCTATATCAAAGAGTACACTACCACTACCAAGAGGCGAAAAAGGGCATTTTTCGGGATACATTTTTTTTTCTGATTGATTCGGCCGTTACTTGAAGAAGATCTATATTAATTTCTGAAACTACGTTATTGAACTTATTTTCTTTAAAAAATCGAGGAAGTATTATTATTGATCTAGAAATGAGGTAATTGAAGAGGTAACACAGCTATATAAGAGTTGTAGGGGTTTAGGTAATTTGATGGAGGTAAGTAGGTCCCAATTGTAGTAACCTGTGGTATATAAATATTACCATAAGAAGCAACTTGTAGTATTCAAATCACTGTTGAAGAAGCTACTGTGCCAGCGAAACATGTCGTGATAGATTTTTCAAATGAAGTTTGTGGAGATCAAATCGTGAGGTGTTGTTTATGAGATATATAAATTTTCAGAGCGCAAGCGCGAAACAATCAGTATTTCTGTCAATGTCAATCTATATTTCCTATCTTAAGAATGTATCGCAGGGTTACCAATTTTGGATTGATTTCTGGCATTTACCGTGAATTGATTATACAGTGTCATCCCCAAAGTATGCACCATATGGGAAACTTATTTATTAAGGGTTTTTCGCCAAAAATTTATTCTTGATAAAAGTTTGTGCATCCCCTAAATCTAAACATGCACCAAACCATTGGATTTCTTTCTGTTGGATGGCCTTGTTACAAATTAATGAATAAAAAAATAACACAAGAAATATGTGTTTTTTTTTCAATAATTTACAGGTTTTTAATATTTTTTTCTAAACCCGTACTATACAATATATTCCCATAATTCGTTTCGTTTCGCGGTTCGAACCAGCAATGAAATAGCCTAATCGGTTATATGACAACGCCGTAGACCGCTGGACTACCGGCCGACCTTTAATGAAGTTCAGCTTCATTCTTTAGTGTTGGTCGACAAGTATAATATAAATAATAAGCTACTTTATTAGTCGTAACTAATGAGATGGTGGATCATCATTTAAGTGTTTTTCAGCCTATTAACAACGAGACTAGACTACTTGGCAATGGATATATTATACGAATTAGTATTACTAATCAAAATATTAAATTTCATTAAACTTTATATAATACTTAAGTTCCTCTGATATATGTACTTGCTTGGACAACTAAAATCAAAAAATGTTTTTATTTCAATTCAATTTCATTTGTTGTTTGATATTTTGTTCACCAATTAATCATAGCCATTTCAACCAAATTCCTAGCATTTCTGATGTGGTTTCAGGAAAATTTATCAAAACAATAAATTAATAACTTTAAAAGAATTGTTGCGTCTGAATCCATTTTCTTAGTGTTATAATTCGGGACTTGAATCCTATAAATAGAAACATCAAGATTTTGTATCAAAGTGAAAGTTTTCTGATGAATGTTAGTGAATTTGAATGAAAATTACACCTACAAAATTTAATAGTAAAAGTTTGTCAACAATTCAGTCCATCAAATATGTATAGTATCATAAAACGAAAACTGATATTAACCAACAATGTTATTAACTGATATTAACCAACAATGTTATTTTTCTCAGTGTAGTGCTTGGTGCTATTTTTCTCAGTGTATCAATTAGTATCTCTGTCAATGCTGTGACGTATTTCTTCTGAATATCTTGTACAACGAACATCAAAGGTTCCTTTGATGTTCTGGCCTCTTGGTAGTTGTGTACTCTTTGGTCTGTACTGCCTTGCACAAAAAACAGCCAGTGAAAAGAAACCAGCAATTCGGGATAAATAGCTACCTACATGTGGTCCGAAATTAAAATTACCTTCAAGGAGGATCACCGATTCGATTTATAGATAAGCCAAATTAGGATAGTTCGACTGATTGTCATAAAATAAACGGAGAAAAATGCAATAGGTCCATGAGGCTGTAGTGTTTTTCGGAGACTTGGGAGATATGAAAACCTCAGAAGTCTCCCAAGTAGGGTTTTTTCTCGTGTTTGATATTAATTTCATTTATGACCAAGTCATTCGAATATTTCGGTAATTGGTGTAATTCACATTTTTCTTCTGATATATTTCTGATAGCCCGTGGGTTGGGCTTCCTATCGGGCGCATCCTCAGGTGGTGGATAGGGGAACGGCCAGGGGACTGGAGGCCCTGTCCGGGAAGCCAATGTGGCCTTACGGCCGGGGTCGCCGGACTCCTGGTCAGTGACAGAAATAGGTAGGGTGAGGGGAACTACAACTCCCCAAAAGCCTTTGCAAAACATGCCACCGTGGACCAGCCTACCCAAGCTGAGGTGTAAGGAATCGTGCCGACAGCTGAATAGACGCAGGGTGATATTCGATCACGAACGACCACCTTGGAAAACTGGGCGAAACCTCATTGTAACCAGCCTATCTTTGGTAATGCGGAGCTCTTCCAGAGGTGACCAACTCTTCTCTTGCTTCTCGTGGAAACATACATAATGAAACAAAAACAAAAACTAATCCCGAGGCTGGACAGAAGGTCTTACCTCAATGTAAGGCGGTGGCTGGGGATGAACAGAAATGTCCACCCCAATCTACCTCTTGGAATGAGGCTGGACATAGCAGATCACCTCGTGATGTAATACAAAGGCCAAGACGTAAGCGCATATGCGGCGCCGATGCCAAAAGGAGAAACAGAGCGAAGGAGGCAGAAGTGGCAGCAACTATAAGTGCACCCTCCTCCTTCCTACTCCACCACTAACAGCAAGGGCACTTTCTGCGGCGGGCGCCAAGAACTCCGCCTTGAATAAAGTCAATGAACCGGCTGCTCCTGCAGGAAAGATCCCTCACTTGTGCACCTCCACGGAGGGAACCCCAAGAAGGTTGAAAAAGCCGCGCAACGATAGTACTGTCGCTGTACCTTCCAAAACCTTCGCGGAGGTCACCGTGAGATACCTCAAGGTTGCCAAAGAGAGGGTGTGTTCGGCGAGTCTTGGCCTACACCTGCTAAAGTAAAGGAGATGTCTGCTAGTGACCTGTCCACCTTACTGGAAATGACAGGATGGACGATGACCTAGGACGATAACTCCTCGGGAGGATGTACAATGTGGGTCTATACTCAGGTATTGAAAAAAATTACTTACCTCTTGGTTAAACTCGGCCTCCCCCACAGGAGTCCCCTGACCTCCGGCAGCGTTTGGTTTATTAATCGCCTGAAAAGCACAAGTAGTTAACACCAACAGATCATGCCACTTGTGCGTCAACAGTCTCGTATGCACATCCACCGGCAATTCCAAATAAAATGGCAGTCTTTTGGTCCATTGCACCAGCTTGTACACGATCGAGTCACCGATGTTACACAACTTTTCACCCAAGTCCGTCCTGTGATCCAGAAGCTCGTCCAGATTATGCAAGGTGGCGATACTCTGGAACTCGTCGCACTCCACAAGGATTTTGATCATCGACACCGCGTACTCCACGGTGAATGCCCTGTCCCTAGAACTGCTCACAGCGCTGTCGAGACGTTGTCTGAGACGGATAACCTCACTGGGGTTGGTCAGAGCCGTTTTCAAGATGGTCCCGTTGACTAGGTTGGAGGACACATTCGAAGGTTGCTCCTGTTTGAATTGAAGTCCGACGAGGGTTTTTTCCAGAGGTTTTGACTGTTGCTTCGCCGATGGCTTTTTATGTTTTTTGTATTTCACTTTGTAGAGGTTGTAGACGGCGCCACTATTGCGGCCGCCTGGCATGCGGTCTTCCCGAACAGCTGGAAAAACAAAAGAGATACTCAGAAATATAGAAAAAGTCGCACTCCATCATGATCATGAACGCCGAGTCCAAAATGACTAATTCGCTGTTTGACACAGGTGGTGAAATATTCAAAAAGGGGATTGAGCTTTTTGAAATTATTCACCGATATAAAGGGCGTTCCAACGAAAACTTGGGATTTTTAAAGAACACATCAATTTTTATCTCTAGGGGGGCTAATTCTGATATGGAAATCATAACGAAACTCCATCCCCCTGCGATCAGCAACTACCCCCCTATTTTTTTCAATGACATGGAGAGTTGAATTATACTTCATTTGAAAGGTCTTTCGTCCCTCTATTACCTCTGTGATTTGTTTCGAAATTGATTCATTCGTTATTGAGAAATTGAATGTTGAAAGTTTCATTTAAGAAAAAACAGAAAATTCGCTGTCGCTAATTTTATTGATTATTGAGGAAATCAACAAAAGTGATATCAATGGCAACACAATCAACAAATGAAATTTTCAGAATGACCTGCATCTTGATCCATACAATAATACAGTCTACTTTCGAAAGCGTTCCTTACATTACTGAAGATTTCCGGAGTCAAAAATTGGCATTCCCGAACAAATCTATGTCGCATGTCTTCTAGATTTGAAGAATTTATTTAATTAGTGGGAAACGTTTGGAAATGGACGACATTGTTAGTTTTTTCTACATTGATAGTTTTTGTTGAATCTAGTTGTCGCAGAACAAAAAGTAGTCACTTCTTCACGAATTATTATTCAGTTATCCGTGTTCACTGTCTTCCAAAATGGTTTATTCTATTCCCGATTTGCTGGTTTCCCCTCGCTGTGTGTGTTTCTTGTGCTCGGCAATGCGAACATTCAATGGCCTCTTAGTTTCACCAATATAGGATTTTCCGCACTTACAGGGTATCCGGTAAATGCAGTTCTTGGAATCGCAGTCCGCCTTTTTTGGCCTGGTTTTCGTGAGGCTGCTACGGAACCTGCTTCAGATCCGGTAACACTATCCGTAGCAGCCTCACGAAAACCAGGCCACCAAACGCGGACTGCGATTCCAAGAACTGCATTTACCGGATACCCTGTGAGTGCGGAAAATCCTATATTGGTGAAACTAAGAGGCCATTGAATGTTCGCATTGCCGAGCACAAGAAACACACACAGCGAGGGGAAACCAGCAAATCAGACCATAGCAGACCATGTTTGGACCCATCAACACAACAATGGATTATTCTACTGAAGGGGGCGGGTCAAGTTTTCAATGGAACGCCCTGTATGTAACGAGTGCATACAAGGCACGAAATGACAGAGTATCGTAACATTAGTGAAACGTCTTGAAACTGCTTTCCATATTCAAATTCCTCCTGAAAATTACTTTCGAACAATAAAGGAAGTTAATTAAAAAATTATTCAAAAAAGGACTTATTCAACAGATCCCGTTTGCAAACAAATTCGGAATCAATATTAACAACAGAAAAAATATCAAAATCAACCTCAATAGCCTGAAACATCGAATGAAAATTGGAAGCGACTTTTTCTTGTTCTTCATCATTTTGACACTTGTTTAAAAAGTTTTCACGAATTTCCTATAAAATATTTTCATAGATTCTTTTAGAAAAACAAAATTTTAATAAAATGACAGTAACAAAATTCACAATGAATGTCAATATTTATTGAATTATTCGAATAATAATGAGGAATTATATATTGCAAATGAAAAATAAACTTTTTCATTGAATTAGTTATCCATTGACTTCTCGACAAAAACAAAACAGAGTTACATGTGTACATATGTATTTTTGTATTTTTTCTAGTAATAGCTCGACAAAATATTTTCTAGGGAAAAATTGCACATAAGTCTTGAAATCAGCAGAAATATGATGTGTATTTGAATCATGTTCCGTTCAAATAGAAATAGCAAAAATAACAAAAAATTTCGAAGGGAAATTAGAGATCATGGTATACAGGCTTTCAGGGCCGGTGTCTAACAAATTGTCGGATGTTTCCGGGTTTATTAGCCGTGATTTGCAGGTTTGGAATAAAACGTGCGAATCTGAAAGGAATATCATATTTTCTTGAAGACTTCCTATGAATACTTTTCAATTTTCCTTTCTGTGAAAGTTTTACATTTGTATATTTTGATACAACACTTGAAAGATGAAAGGTGTTTTTCCCACATTTACAAATGAAGGATATTCCTTCAGTAAACACTTTTAAATATACCGTCTGATCAATCGCCTTCAATTCTTGTGCCTTTCCCAAATAGCATTCTTACCTTGCAAAACCATTCCTTGCTCAATACACTTCTTAAACCGGCAATATTGGCATCTATTCCTCTGCGTTTTGGTAATCTCACAGTTCCCGTCCGCCACACAAGTATATACCCGCCTATTCTGTACAGTCCTTTTAAAGAATCCCTTACAACCCTCACAAGTGATGATCCCATAATGCAAACCGGTCGCCTTATCCTCGCATATCATGCAGATCATTGGTTGGTCTTCTTCTTCATTGTCGACATGTTGCTCCGCGCAAGGCTCGACGAGGCAGGCCTTGCTTTCGCCCGGGCTGTACACGATGGGACTGGGTCCAGGGGAGGAGGAAGTCAGGTTGAGGGCTTGCGTTTGCTGGTTGATGGGCAGTTGTAGCAGATCTCCAGCCCAAAGCCGTTCCATGTTCAAGGGGGATGCACCGAACTGGGATGTTGGAGAACAAGGAGGTATGAGACTCCTGCTGAGTGGCCTCAATCGGTCCTGACCGAGATTGAGGAGCAGCTGTGCCGCACTTTCCTCGGGGTTGTTTACTTGAGGCCAGCTAGAAGTAGTGGCGAGCAACTGCGACTCCCCTGTAGGAGAAGAGGGAAGAGAAGGCTGCGACCAAATCATAGTTCTCACTCCTCCAGCCTCTCCCATAATAACGCTAGGAGTTTGCTTTGAAGGCATTGATATAATGGGCTTAGACATTGGGCTCCCAGGGGGCCTGATATCGCTGCTGGGTGCTGCTGGGAACGTTCCCCCAATCAGCTCCGGCTTGACACCGTTTATCCTGGAGTGTTTCAGCCACACCTGCTGGTTCTGCTGAAAAGTGCTCGCTTGCTGGCTAATGATAACTCCCCTGGATTGCATGGTGGGTGACATCATGGGTATGGGTGGCGAGAGCATAGGCATAGAGGAAGTTGGTTCTTGACTGGAGACCGACGGTCTAGGACTAGCAGGTGGTTGTAGGAGAAGGGGCGTGTGTCGGATGACTGGACTGGCTCTAGGGCTGATGCTGGCAGGTCGACCGGGAGAGCTATGAGGACGCGGCGGCTGGGATGGGCTAAAGGGTGGAGCCGGTCGAATGGGTGGGCTGTAGGAGCGTATCAGCGGTAGAGATCTGGAACAGAAACTAATAACAATTATACAAGTCAGAACGTTTTATTTTTTACTGTTTATACTCAAATGTCAGTGCAACGACAAATTATTCTTAGAGCGACCTCAATGATTTTGAAGAGCTTCTGCATCTCCATAAAAACTTATTCTGATCTATCAGTCATCAAAAATGAAAAGTTGAAAAAAATTATACGCCCGCTAAGAAAAGGCAAATATTCATACGGCAAACAAGGTACCTTCAAAGTGCCAAAAAAACGTTCAGCGAACCTGGATCAAACTAACACAACCGTCAACGACGTCTGCCCTCACGCGTCTGCCCGCATTCGGGTCGCGTTCTCGGCGATGGCGCTTTATTGCTTAGACCGCCTCTCTACCGGTTGGCTTACTGCATTGCATCAGGTTGATCTTATCGTGATAACTTTTAGACGATTGGTTCAAATTACTTAGTTAGTGTAAAAGACAAAGTTTATCTATATCAAATATTGAAAACAACAATTGTATCAATTTTTATAATAATTTGACTGGTATTCTAAAATATACATTGCAAAAAAAGAATCCAATTCAATTGTATTTATGGCTCAGTTTTGCATATAGTGGCTACCACATAAGAGGTAGATATATGCTACCACGGACTTTTATTTAGAACTATCTTACGGCACATAATCTGCATGAAACTACAACGGTATAGGCAGATCACGCCAAGATGGCTATCAGAGATCAAGAATTTTTCCGACAATACTCATCATTATATTATGACCAAAAATACACAAAACCCTCATAAATTGTAGCCTATATGTTATTCTGATGTATAAGCTGTATTTATGTAACGGTTCATCTGAATCCGTTCAGTCGCTTAAGCATGAAAGAGCCACAAACATATATACATACATATATACATCCATACATACATACATCCAAATTCACAAACTTTCAAATTTATTTTAGTATAGATTATTTGCTGGTGTAGGACAACTGGTTCGAGTGATTAGATGATTGTGGAGACTTACATTCGAAACGTCGTGGTTTGTAACCTATTTTAATATTTTGCATTTTTGAATAATTCATCTTAATTGTAGATAGAGGAGTTAATCAGATTTGTAAGATTTTGTAGATACAATTTGAAAATTTACATAATAATGGACATACAATTTTGCAAGCTGCGACTTTTATATTCCATAATATTCACCACGGAAATGGAGAAGGATGACATAGTAACAAATTGTTACTATGGCATCAAATTGTTCAACAACAATTGTTGAATTGTATCTACTTGTCAGTTCGATTCAGTGATTCTTTGCAAAACAGTAACTGTGTTCTTTGTGCGAAAACTCCAGTATGCCTTTCGCGTNTCAACAGTATGATCCACAGACTGATAAATGTTCGATTGTCAGATGCAAATTTCAATTAAGAACTGAACATAATAAAACTAATAGCCGTCAACGATAATACCAGTCTAATACATTCTCTATTATCGAAAGAGTTATACAGCCAAGCTTTGAAGGAAGTTTGCCCAATTTGAAGAGATGACGATAAAAGTTATAGAACCTTAACCTTCTTAGGCCAACCCACTACGAATATTTCAAATTTTCTGTACAACAAAGATGTAAATATTGCTGTCAAAACCAATAACAACTTAGACATGCACATTAAGAATGGCAAAGATAAAAATTGAGTTTCAGAAAAATCGGGAGTGTATAAATTATCATGTGGGTCATGTCTGATGATGTACCATTCATTTGATCACAGAGGGACATGAGTTCAATCATGAATTCACACCCCTCCATTTCCAGAATAAAGATTTAAAATTTAACCTGTTGGAGAGTATGAAAATTAACAAATTCAAAAACTCCCAATATCTTATGAACGATTAAACATAACTGAATAATTCGCCATTATTAAATATGTTTATTTCCAAGTAAGAAAAGTTGAGTATAATTACGGTATTTTCGAAAATTTCATTTATTTATATAGTTAATGAATTTATTCATTCATTAGAGAATAGGCAAACAAGTAGGTAATATGTTAGAGTATGATATGGTTGTAATTTAGAAGTAACGCTTAAGAAAGTATAGCGAAACACGTGTCGCGGTTTTTGTGAAACCCTTTATAGTGAAAATCATACAATGAACTGTATTAATGAGTTATATTATATTTTTGTCAATACCTAAGTACGCATTGTTTTCGATATGATTATTTCTCGAGTGAATACGACAATGTAGTTATTGGAGCCGGAAATTTGCGTCTCTCTTGAAGTCATGATTAGTGAATCAGAGCCTTTGAACAGTTCATGTTTAAAGTAATAATTAACTATTAGCAGAAATTCATACTTTGTGACATTAATTATCTTGTTGGTAACGTTAACTTAACTTTTTGTATGGCTATATTATAACTTTTGAAAGACGACCAAGAAACTATAGATTTTATGAAAATACATAGAACACTGAATAATCATACTGATAGCATTAAATGTAGTTGGTTGATAGTGTTATGCCGTTGAATGAGACAGAGTTACGACCATTTCTGAACTGATTTCTGATCTAGTTAAAGTTCTTGAATTCTGGATTGAAGATAATTCCTGTTACATTGAATATAATCTGATCGATTTCCGATCCTCAATTTACCTTCATATTGAACTGATTACTATCGAAATAAAAGAATACCTGTCGGACTATAGACTAGTTGAGTTATTCATAATTCTGAAAGCGGCACTTCTTTTCATGTTTTATCTTCATGCATTTTTTATTATGAAGTACGTTATTTATTATCATTTAAATGAAACAGGGGCATAGAAAATAAGCCTCAGAGAAGAAGTTTCGAAAATTTTAAATTCATATTTCACTTCAACGTATCATTATTATCGATCGTTATTTATCTCGTATAATCTAAATTATACGAGATAATTTCAACGAATCGTATCTGAAAATAACATAAAAAAAATAATCACAGTAATACAGCTAATTCTACTTTGATGAAAACTTCATCTTGCATCTTTATGGTACTGGTATATTACAGATATATGAACTGATGTAACTTTCTCTCTAGAGTAGTCATATGTGTCAATGCCAACTTTGACATGATTGATAGCTAGTAAAAAAATCTTCAGTACTCTTTGTAGGAAGGAAAATGCTCTGTTCTTTTTTATTTGCTTGGGCAATGACAATTACTACAACATGATCCAAATGCTGAACCAAAAGTCAGTTTTTGTCCAACACTATTTATCCACGTTTTACCAACAAGTTGAAGACTCTTGTGTAACGAATTCTTGGCTGGGCTTCGCTTCGGCTACTGATTTAGTGTAGCAAATTGAAGCTTTTGGAGTTCTGTGAGTAACGAATATATTCCTTATTATTCGTCCCGACATTTCACATGATATTTGATGCAAACTTATGTTACTTTTTCAATATTTAAAAAACATTTGTATGATTGGATCTTCTATTGTAATAGAGCTTTGTTTCAGCTTTGTGTCTTTATGTGTGTTTGTGTCTATATTCTGGTCCATCTAGGATACATATATATATTTTTTACATTTGGTAAATTATTTTTAATCGTATAGGGCTGACAACAAACTAATATTTCAAAATTACTGATTTGTTCGACCACTTAACCTCACACAAGCTTAACATTATGGAATATGCGAAGAATAACAGAATGATAAATAGGAGGAAAGAACTTGTTATTATTCCGGGACTCTCCTAGTCGGTCATTAAAAGTACCTATTGAGTGAATAATATATTCATATATTTGACATTCAGATAACACAACACAAACTATTTTTTACTTGTAAGTCAGTTTTAAGCTCAGTTCAACTTGACATATGCTTTTCCATGATGTGGTATATGCCTATTGTTTTAATGAAAAAATCACCAGGAAATATTAATAGTGTTACCTGGGAAGTTGAACATGGATTTTCACTAGTAATACCACTAGAGGTCAAATTATTCAGTAAAAAAAATCAGTAAGGAAATTCCATATTGAATTGTACTGGAAAATCAAACATTTCTAAAATTTATTTTTCCATTCTCGACAATGCAAATTATTTTCTTCATCAAGTCACCAGCGAAACATAAAATGTGTGGTCGACTTGATTGTTGACTTGCCATGTTGCCAGTTTTGAAGCTGTCAAGCGGCACGACGTAAAACATGTTTGGCTTCGGTCAAGAAAGCAAAAAAAATATTCGCCAGGAGATTGAACAGTTGACACCAGCGAATACCAGAAAATCGAAGTCAAGCGTATGGAGGCAGTTTACAAACTTTTGTGCAGGAAACTCGTATAATTTCGATAGAGCGGATATACCTGTGGACGAACTGGCGCTTATTCTTGAAGACTTTGGGTTCAACATGCAAAAAAAGAACTACGAAGACTACAAGGAGAGTGTTATCAAAGTTTTATGGAATTCCACAGCCAAGCAGTTGCAGGAATATTTTTTTGAAAAGTATAATCGTAAATTTAATCCATTCTCTGACATAGAATTTTTGAACGCAAGAGCTGCAAAAAGTTCATCTGCACTATCAGCAGACGAGCTGAGAAAAATTATTGAGCTTTGGGATGAAAACACTCCGGAAGGACTGCAGAAAAAGTTTTTCCACAATGCTGGTCATGAATTGGCCTGAAGAGGGAATGAAGGAGCGGCAGCACAACTCGAATATTTTATGGAGGAAATTGACAATTGAGGGGACCCAACAGGCCGCATTGAGTATAACCCGGTTTTCTCTAAGACCACCCAAGGCGGTTCAAGAAAATGGCTGACAGTAAGTGCCCAGTGAGACTGTTCAAAAAACTAACAAGCAAGCGGGGCCCCATCAAAACGAAGCGTTTAGTTTTGACGCCACATCCAAAAGGCTGGTACAAGAACAGTCCAGTTGGACAGAATACAATATCTTCCCGATTCAAATCCGCTGCATTATTGATTGGTATTGATGTTGAAAAGATCAAAATAACAAATCATTCTGTAAGGGGCTCTGCTGTTTCAACTTCAAGAAAACCAATTGATCAAAATAACCGGTCATGATAGCAGCCTCTCAATAAAACCATATACAAATATAACAAATTTACATTGCGTCGAAGTTTCGATATCATTCTCTGGGTATGGATTATAAGCCTGTGATAATTCTGAATTTTTATTCGTTGTAGTTGCATGAATGGCAACCTGAAACGTAATTTAATATATTCTTCTATTTTATATCAATTTTGGATTACTACAAGTAGTAGAAAGTTATAATTTTATCAAATTTAATATGCATTGCAGTTTCGGTACTGGCCAAGTAATGGCTTCTCAGCCTGCCCTTTATGATATTTTTCAAAAACTACACCTCTTGATTTGATCTCCACAAACTTGTAGAGATCAAATCGTGAGATGTAGTTTTTGAAATTATTATGGATCTTCATCAAGTAACGGCCGAATCAATCAGAAAACTTTAAGATATTGTTTTCTACTCATTGTAGTTACACGGTAATGCAGTTTTATAATGAAATATATTACAATATTTGATTTTTTCATTCAATTCGGGATATTACAAGTGATAAAAAATGAAAAAAATTTAAGTTTTATAGATACATACTTAGAGGAACAGATTACATAATAATATTCAGTTTGTCTTCGCCTATAAACTGTTGATTGTAGTAGCTCAAAAGTGCCATTTAGGGACAAAAAATATAATATTCTTTAAATTTATAGTTACTTGAGCTTACTACACTAAAATTATAATTTTAGTGTTTTTTCGGGAAGCTGCATAAACAGATTCACAGTGCGTCATAGCTTTGGCAGCAATTATTTAGGCCTTCAAATTGGTAATTTCTACTCTTTGTAGTTGTATGGAAATGCCATTAGAATAGAAAATAATTCATTCTTCAATTTTACAGTTTTGAGTAACTACAGGTGGTAAACATTTTTTTTGCGTTTTTATTGATGTGGGTTATGCGCGCTTCAATGGTATGGAATTCATAACCAGCGTCAGCAAGCATCAATCATAGGAGGCTGTGATCATTGTACTTACTTGTGTTTTGTTGCAATAAAGAATATTGCACAGCCAGTAAAACCAACAAAATCCTATGTTTAAAAAATAAATTGATTTCAAAATCATACAATATTCAAAATATGGGTAAAATTGTCTGATGTAATTTTCTGATGAAATATTAGTGAATTTGAATAGAAAGTACACCTACAAAATTTAATAGTAAAAGTTTGTCAACAATTCAGTCCATCAAAATATATTAAGTATCATAAAACGAAAACTGATAGTAACCAACAATGTTATTTTTCTCAGTGTAGTGCATGGTGCTATTTTTCTCAGTGTATCAATTAGTATCTCTGTTATTGCTGTGACGTATTTCTTCTGAATATCTTGTACAACGAACATCAAAGGTTCCTTTGGTAGTTGTGTACTCTTTGGTCTGTACTGCCTTGCACAAAAAACAGCCAGCGAAAAGAAACCAGCCATTCGGGATCAATATTTTTGCACCTACCTTTATGTGGTCCGAAATTAAAATTACCTGCAAGGAGGATCACCAATTCGATTTATAGATAAGCCAAATTAGGATAGTTCGACTGATTGTCATAAAATAAACGGAGAAAAATGCAATAGGTCCATGAGGCTGTAGTGTTTACCTGAATCAACATAAACACGATTTATGTAATTTACCTAAGCCAGATACAGGTATAAGCACACCAAACCACCTGAGGATTCAACATAATCAAGCGTTACGCAGCCGTAATATCCACTCATCGGAGATATCAACTCAGGATGTATGATCGTCTGAAGAAGCTAGCCACTAGCACCAACGAAACGTCAGGAAGAAATTCCAAAAATCCACGGCCTTCAAACTCGAAAAATAGTGACACTGAATAAAATTGAAGCTTTTCTCAAATAACGTTAGATATCGTTAACATCGCTGTTCATGTCACGATACAGAGTTGCGTATTCTACAACGTCATGATCTAAATTGAAACATAGATGCGAATTCTGATGACACACTCGCGAAGTTTCCTCGACAATAATATTAATCGCACTCTTGCTCAAGGTTTCACAAAGCTTACACTATTTATCCTCGCTGAATTTAGGTCAACTTCGCAAAGATTGGAGAGGACCTTAAGAATCTGGAATTATCAAAGATGTTTATCATCAAATCTATGTTTGTCAGTAACAAACTTCACTTTTAGGTGAATAAAGTTTTAATTGACTAAACATTTTCGCTGATAGGAGACAGGTCGGAACTAAAAATATCAAATAACTCATCTCATCCAGTATACAATAATATTGACAAATAGCAAAGAAGGGATTAATTAATTACTAGCAAAGATAATTTTTCAAATTTGACACAGTACGCCTTATATCCTCCCAAATAAGACAATTTTGTTTGTTCACGTACCCACGGTAAGTTGCCGGTTGCCGGAACAGAACACCCATTTTGATAAAACAATGTTATTATTTGCACCTTCTGTTGGATGCTATATCCGTCCTTGATGATTTGGCAAAACAGACTGAATGAATGATAACTAATTTGACAGCTGTAGCTAAGACAAGATAACCGTTATCAATTGTCAAAGTTCAAAAGTTCCTGTTGACAGATCCTATACTATATTGTTGAATAGGATGACGACCGTTGAATATGATTTCGATTGTTAAGTTGGCGGAAATTTAAACAATTGGTTTTCTTCAACATTTCGGCCTATATTATAGTTGGTCTACAAGAATTTCTGAAGCAAAAGCTCATCCCAGTGTATAGAAAACTTATGCCGGGCACACTGCTGTCTTGGTTGGAACATTTCTATATCAATGAAGGAAGAGCAAAACCTCGAAAACTGTATTGCAGGACTGATCAAACAACTGATTTCAGCAAGGTCATTCTGCTAGAGAAATTGTGGCATTGGCCGGGGAAGTAATTATTTTCCGGCAGTCATTTGCACGATTCCACTGTTGGAATGTCAAAATTAATGAAAAATATTTAGAAAATTGAAGTTTGAAGTTGAATATCACGGCCCAAAATAGCTTTCAGTAGTGATAGTGCATGTATACTATATAATTTGACTACAGTGGTTTGAACCACGTTGCTCTGTAACTATCCCATGCCATAACTGTGGAGTTATGGATACAGTGTGGATGGGATGAGATAAGGATATCAAGGTATGTTTGTTTGAAGGTGGTTGATAATGTTTTATGGTGAATTTCATTAGTTCGGACTTCCATTGTCTAATATGATATTAAATTATTTGAAATCACAAAAATAATCAATAATATTAAAATGAATAGCTGAAAGTAACAATTATATTGTGTAAAAAACCCTGAAATGAAGTTACAATGAAGGAAAATACAAGCAACAATTGAAAATTGAACAATAAAAAAATAAAAACTAAAAGATGAGGCCAAATTACTTCACGACGTTTCGATTGTTAATATCCACAATTGTCTTCGGGTGATGACTGGATTTATTCCTCCGAGAAAGACTATTTATAGGTCATTCGGGACACACTCACTCGGGACAGTCGTCACAACTAGTACATGCACTTCCCTACATCAGAGGATTATCGGAAAAAAAAAGAAGAATTGGATCCAAGTACAACATCAGAACACGCTTCAGATCCGAAAACATTATCCGTAGCAGCCTCACGAAAACCAGGCCACCAAACGTGGACTGCGATTCCAAAAATTGCATTTATCGGATACCCATTCACCTATATCGGTGAAACTAAGAGACCATTGAAAGTTCGCATTGCCGAGCACAAGAAACACACAGCGATGAGAAAACAGCAAATCGAAAATAGGAGAGCATGTTTGGACTCATCAACATAACATCAAGTGGTCTCAAGCTCAGATCATCCACAGAGAGTAACACCAGTTTATGAGGAAATGCAAAGAAACCACTTATATGTTTTCCAACAACGCATTTAGCCAAGCTAGCGTAGAATAACGCAACATTTGGAAACCCATAATCAAGTGGAAAACGGCAAACTCCCGCCAAACGGTCAGCTCCCGCTAAACCGGTGAAGCGGAGAGAGGGTAGAGGAGATAGGTGAAAGCACTCGAATGACTTATAAATAGTCATCTCTCGGATGACCCAGTCATCACCCGAATACGATTGTGAATACTAACAATCGAAATGTTGTGAAGAAATTTGGCTAGAAATCTTTCAATTCCAATTTTTTTTATTTTTCAATTTTCAATTGTTGTTTTTATTTTATTGTAATTTCATTCCAGGTTTTCTCTGCTTAATATGTTTAAAATATGTTATTTTCTGTTGTAAAGTAATTTGACTTGAAATCTTTCAATTTTAATTTCTTTTTACTGTTCAATTTTCAATTGTTGCTTTTATTTTATTGTGATTTCATTTCATATTAGACAATGGAAGTCAGAAGTAATGAAATATATCAAGGAATGATAAAATGATCGTTTTAGTACTTTTTGATATAAAAAACTGTTGCAGTAAGTATTTATCACCGAAAGAGCGCTACCAATGTTTTTTAATGTATCACTCTCGTGATAATTCGCAGGTACTTCAACTCTCTGTTCAACAATTTTTAATTTTTCGAAATTCGATCAACCATTTCTGAGTAATTAGCAGTTTCACATTTGTATCAATTATCTGTGGACGAATACCATAATTTCGAGAAAAACGTATTCGAAATCCAATCCGATTCAATCCATTCACTTCCTGACAATAATGGAGTTTGTTCTCAAAGTTATTTCTTACCTCATGTTAAGTTTCTGGGGTAATTTAGTTAGGGGCACCCCATATTCTGAGCATGAAATCTGGAATAGACTGCAGTTGTGTAGCGCACGAGTATACTTTAGATTACACAAATTCCCACAAAAAATCCAAGGGATACTATACATAGTTGAAAACACTAGTGTTACTTGATCGAATGAACTTTTGCTAATGATGTAGCGTTTTATTTGAGTAGGTATCATAATCTGAGTGGATGTTAGAACTTTGGGCTTTGGGAAAAAGTTTCAACAGACCTGAAATCTGAGAGTAATTTGTCCAATTATTGTATTATTCCGAAATAGCAAGACAAAATGAGGAATAACAAGAAATAGTGAAAGCTGCATCAATGACAAAAAGTTATTGAAACAATGTGGGGAAATGGTAAATATAAGTCTGTCAAAGAATCACAATGAAATTAAATTGATAGTATATCATTCAACGCGAGTAGAATATACTTGTTCCATGACTTATATCAGGAATAGTTCAAAATAATTTACAGTTGAGAGAAAAATCGAGGGGAGTAATATATCATTAAATTTCATGAAAAACAACCTAAAAATTTAGTAACATATTCTATCAACTACTTCACAATAGTTAATGAAAATCAGTGTGACATAAAATTGTTACAGTTTCGAATTTCCTTGATTTTGCTATAAGGTGATGAACTTAAAAAAAAAATCAATTTCTTCGTGGGTCGGTAGCCGGGCGGTTCAACGTGGGTGTTTGTTCACTCATTCAATCGCCCAAAGTGCGAGTCGATGGTTCAAGCCCCGGGCAGAACGCTCGATTTTCACTTGCTATCGTCCGATCCGTGTTAGGAATCACACGTTAAAAAGTAAGATCTCGTTAATTCTTAGCTCGCACAAGTTTTGACTTCTGAGGTTTGTCATTCGTAGGGATGCGATAGCTGATTAACAACATTCTGTTACTGTCAAGTCGTTTTCACTTATCGAGTCGATGTTTTCATTATTTTTCATTTGAAACTACATATTTCGAAACAAACTGGCAGATCAATGAGTAAGTTTAACATTTGAGAAAATACTTTGAATATGGTTAGTTGTCAAGGTTTTCTAATTAAAACACGACTGTTATGCTATTATGGATTTGCTATGTGATTAGTCTTCAAGATAGTGAGTTATAAAACTGTACAACTGTGATTAGTTCGATCAGTTAATTGAAGTTTTTTTCAACAGTCACAGAGAAATGAAGAAAATACAGTTCTTTGTTGCTCTATAACTCTAGAAACATATTCCGATTTTCTAGTTCGATTACTCAAAACGGCAAATGACTGAAGCCATTTTCAAATTTTCTGCAAAATGAAGTTGAGAAAAGTTTTACGCTCAACTTATCTTCTATACTGATAAAAATATTTATTCTCATTAGATAACTTGATACCAAGAGCAATAGCTGATGATTCGAAATGAAATACATTTTTAGATCTGTCGATAAATCGTAAATTAATTTTCTCCCCTAATTTTACTCATGCCCTCATTGTTTCTTATCATACTAGGAGCTCTAGTTGGAAATAGTTGAAACATGTGCGCTATCTCAATTGGTATAGGTATTTAGACACATAGCACAAATTGAAGAACTTATGAAACCACAATCGAAAATGCCAATTTGTCTGACTAACACATTGAAAAAAGTAAATTCTCTATTTCAATAACTTCGGTTTTGGCAAACTTGGTGAACAATTTTATATTTTTCATTCAGTATCCACAACAAACCATTTACTTTAGCCTATCAACTTTTCGCATTGAACTAGTAGTTTGCCTCCTATTTATTCTTGTATTTCCAACATGGAGGTTCAATGAATGTTTTCCAAAAACAACATTATTGTCAAGTTTTGAATCACAACATGAAGTTTATAGTCATTTTATGTTTTTCTCACAGCCGTATTTTGTGACCTCTCGAAGGCATTCGACTGTGTGTCACACTCGACTCTTCACGATAAACTTCCATACTATAGAATTAGGGGGAAAATAGCTGACTTCTTACCTATCCGAATGAAAGCAGTAGTGTGAGATCTCCAGCAGTGAGTGTAACAGCAGATGTGTCTCAAGGGTCACTCTTGGGACTCCTACTATTCCTAATATATGTTAATGATCTTCCACACCATATGCCCTCAACACGATTAAGTATGCAGATGATACTACTATTTATGAGAGTCACTCTGAACATGAATATCCAAAGCAACTAACTGACAACGCGTTGAAAAAAATCGAAATTTTTTTTGCAGCCAATAAGTTTTGCTTGAATGTCAAGAAAATTACGGCTCTATACATATTTCAATGTCTTGTCTATAACAAGACACAAAATAACACCCCTCAAGTCGATCGCGACCATGAATATTTGACCAGAAATTGCCATAATTTTCTTATGCCACAACATCGACTGGCATACCACCATGTATGAGAAAATTACATATGATTAAATTAAAAAAAAGTTTGAAAGGGCTGCTGCTTGATCTCTGCCCTTATGACGTAAGTGAATTTTTTAACTGAAGGTTTTAATGGTTTGCCTTCTAATGTGTATGTTTTGTACTATAATTATCTACCTCGACAATGCTGAATCTGTTATATTGATAATAAGTAAATAAATTGATTGATTCATTTCTCTGATAATCGACATACGAGGTGTGTTCAAAAATAAGGTGAATGTTCAAATTTCGCGGGGTACGTACACTCGATTAGCGATTTTTTTTATTCTTTTATGTTGGAAACCTTGTTTAAAACATATGTTCACATGGTCGTACGGTTAATAAGAAGTATTACGATAATGCACATGTTCATTGCTTGTTCGTAATTTTATGGCCACCGTATTCACCTGATTTAACCCCTTGCAGGTTTTTTCTGTTCTCAAGCTCGAAGAGAGTCATGAAAGGAAGGTGCTTTGCGACGATTGATTAGATACAAACCGAATCGCTGAGAGATCAAGGACATACCACAAAACTGCATATTAGAACTACTTCTAGGATTGGAAAAAACACTAGCAGAAGTATATTATATCTGAGGGGGCTACTTTGAAGGGATCAAAGTAGAAATTCATGAATGAATAAATATTTTATTAATATTACTGGAGTTTTTCTTTCTTTTCCCAACACCAAGCCGTTATTTCAACACCTCGACAGGTGTTTCGATCACCAAGTGATCATCTTCAAGATGAAGATTTACCAAACTGTTATTTTAACACATCGGCACGTGTTTCGATCTCCAAGTGATCATCTTCAGTTTGATTTTCCAATAAAAAAATGCAATTTTTCAAAATTTTCCCTCAGCTTTACGAGTAGTTATGAACCAGTGCAGAAGCCTTTTAGAAAGGCAAGAAGAAGAAAAAATAACAGCTTCTTAGAAATGACTGGAAATGGTGCTCTCAGTACAAAAAAAAGTTAGAGTCAATCTAAGGTACGGAGAATGAAAAGGGTTGAATTATAGGGGCGGAAAGTAGTTTTCCATGATTTCTACTGAAACTTGAGCACTTATTTAAAAAAGTTTAATACAACACTTATAGGAAATATAAAGGTTATATTGGCTCTGGAAATCAATCAGAAAAATAGCTCTGAATGATGTAACTACTATACATAGTTGAAAACACTAGTGTTACTTGATCGAATGAACTTTTGCTAATGACGTAGCGTAAGTAGGTCATTAGCATCATGATCTAAGTGAATGTTAGAACTTTGGGCTTTAGGAAAAAATTTCAACAGACCTGAAATCTGAGAGTAATTTGCCCAATTATTGTATTATTCCGAAATAGCAAGACAAAATGAGGAATAACAAGAAGTAGTGAAAGCTACATCAAAAAGTTATTGAAACAATGTGGGGAATTAGTAAATATAAGTCTGTCAAAGAATCACAATGAAATTATATTGATAGTATATCATTCAACGTGAGAATGAAGTTTGTAGTGAATCATTCAAACAATTAATGACCATTTCTCACGAGTAGAATATACTTTTTCCATGGCTTATATCAGGAATAGTTCAAAATAATTTACAGTTGAGAGAAA